TGAGACAGGATCTCACTGTGTAGTTGAGACTGACCTGGAACTCATTATGTAGCCCAGGCTGGTCTCAAACTCAGAGTGATCCTCCTGCCTCAGCCTCCCGAGTGCTGGGATTACAGGTTTGGGCCACTACATCCAGCAAATTTAAACACTTTTGAAACAGATGAACTACCTCCAGAAATTTTCCAGTTTTTCAAGTTAAATCTCATTTTGAATGGAAAGAGATTTCTTACTTCCAATGTAGCGATTAACTTAATAACAGGAATTAGTCTCCTAAAGCTGAAAATAGAAATGGGTCATTGGTTTTTAAAAAGGAAGCTGTTTGTCCTAGAATCTGCCATTTGGTTATAAAAAAATGAAAACGGCAGAAAATATTTAAGCCCATAAAGTGATTACGGTATACTTTTTAAAAATAAACACGCTGAGGACCCCTGAAAGGCAGGCCTCGTGTCTGACCACCATCAGGGGCGGAAGAGACCACGCAGCCTATCATGGAGACCTGAGGCTCAGGCCTGGCTGGCACTGCCCAGCTGGGGAAGAAGCCTCTGCAGCCACTGGACTCTACTGCTCTGTGGCCTTGGGCTGGTTCCCTAGCGTCTCCAAACCACATCTTTCTTACTGCACCTTGAAGGTCAACTGTGGGTTAAATGAGCAGATCTGTAAACTACTGAACACAGCACCTGGCACAGAGCAAGCTCTTGCTAGGCAGCAGTTACTCTAGGATCAGGACGGGTTTCCTACCCATCCCATGTTAAAGGGACAGAGTGCTGCATGGAAGTATGCTAGAATTAGTCAATAATGAAGCCATAACCCAAAGGTGCTCACTGCAGGGTCAACAGCAATACATATGCTCATGAAGTTTCCTCGTGGGCACCGAAACAGCACCTCTTTCAGCCCCAGGCCTGAGGATACAGAGCCAGTAAACGGAAGCCACGCAATCCAGTCTGCCCCGGGACAGCTCACAGTCACCCCACACCATGTGCCTGAGTTACAGCCTGAGCATGGAGGGACACAAGTGCACGCCTGCAGTTCACCTTCAGAGTCTTCCACACCACAGGGACGTCCCATCACGTCACGACTACACTGAGGAAAATGTGGAAAAGTCGCTCTCGGGATTCCGACGTTCACACTGCCACAGGTGCAGCACAGTGGTGCTCCTACACAGGCTCCCTCATCCCCAGGGTCCCTGCCCCCAGAGTGTCATGCACACATTACTCAGGGAGCCAGAGTGGTGGAAATTGGTTTAGCAAATGATGAAGACATCTGCTTTGCTTATGAAAAGCCTGGCATCATCTCTTTCAATTATGTTATCTAATATCACTTATCACTAAAATAAAACTATTAAAAGTAACATCAGGTCTGAATTGTTCTATTATACATGGTGGCCCACAAGTCACTCCTACTGCATGAACCACAGGACAGCTTATTAAACATCTTTAACCACAGACACAAAGTAACAAACCACTGTGGGCATGGTCATCAATTGTAATTTTCTTAACAACCATTAAGAAAAATCAGAGCTAAATTCTGTATCACAACTCCAGGTGACCAATATTTTCTTCATGTAACCAGAAAACATGCAACCAAATAGAAGTGATAATTTATTAATTACATTTGTATTTTTAGGTTGTAAGACAATCTTAAAAATGCCAGGACAATTTGATAGTGTTAGGTTGGTTCTGTTCACATCGATGAATAGGAGTGATCTTTTACTTAGAAAATATATCTACAGTCAATTTCCAGTAGGGCAAGGCTTCTGTCTGAATTGCAGCTCAACCTTAAGTTTTCCCATCTACCTTTCAGGAACCGCATTTCATGGAATGAAAACTAATTTTATTTAGTGTTGTTCAAGTCTGAATGGAAAACTTTTAATTTAGCAAGATTATAATTCAGTATATTCCAATAGCAAAGAAAAAATATGTTGGCATTATCTGCAAATATATATTACTCATGAGCTAAAAGAGCCAGAATAGTTGAGATTTGACTTACACTGATACATAACCTTTACGGAGAATGCCACCGGTAAACACTGTTTATAGTTTCCAAGACATTCACCTACACCAAGGCCAACAACATGAAGTTCATGGCTTAAAAACCACGTGATCCTAGGACTTATTAACTATTCAGATAATCACTGCAAATTAATTTTAGGGCAACTGCTCCTGCAATAAGCATTAAATTAGTCTTGTGGATTTTCTTTGTTTTGCTTTTGTGGGGGGAATTACTTATACAGATAACCATCCAAACTGAAGAAACAGAAAAATGACAGAGTCAGGTTACACGGGAGTTCAAGTGCCATGGCCAGTACCACTTCGGTTCTTCTCCAGTCCTCACTTTACAAGACTGTCACCAATTTGCTAACTTCTTTCTCCTCTCAATTCATTCGCACTTTCTGTGCAGATAAAATGTATTATAACTGTGTGTGCTGCTTGCAGTCAAACCCACAGGTTATAAGACTGTCTGCCCTTTCACTGATAAACTGGAATGAAGAGATGCAAACTCAAAAAACAGAGGGATTAAGCAACTCACAGGAGATAGACCCATGCAGGTAAGCATGCAGTAGCAGCTGCCAGAGGGTTTACCTAGTTCACTGTCCAGCTCCTCGGTGTGGACCCCTTCTTCTCCAAAGGAACAGCAGGAATAAGACAGGAAAGAGAGAAAGAAAAATTCAGACACCAGCACCAAGAAGGAAACTCCTCTTAGAAAAACAAGCAAACACACATCACTTCATTTTGTCCTTACCTGAATGTAGCTTATTTCACTGGCTTGGCTAATAACTCTGAACCTCAAGGTAAAGCACAAAATACTAAGAGCTGATATTGGCAAAATAATTCTATGGCTCATTTACTTGCATATCTACACAGGATTTGATGGGCTGTAAAAGATGATAAATACCTTTGTGGTTTGGATGCTCTTAAGTGGGAAGTCACTTGTTGTAGACCTTATTTGCAGCAAATAAGGCTGCTAGAGCTTTCATTATTAGTCCTTTTAATCCAACAATCCTCTAATCAATGAGGCAATTACACCCATCATTAAAGCATTATTTAACTTACAAGTAAGTAGCCCCGAAACATGGAGGGTGAGGTCAGATTCAGAGTGTACAGTGTACTCCACGTCTTTCCCAAAGGAGCTAGGCAAATGATTCGTGTCATGGCGATGACACAGGAGAGGCGAGGCTTGGATGCCGCCCTGGACGAGGCCTGGGAAGCAGGGTTTCCTGATTTTGTATTTCTTGTATGCAATTTCCAAGTCATGAGAATGTGCTTGGTGATTTCAGCAAGTAAAAGGTGAAAATCCTTTCCATTCTTGACTTCCTCTTGCTGACAGTAAAATATTTTAACCATTACTGAGAGCAACCATTTCATACATAAACTGCCTTGCTCCAACTACACAGGGCTTGGAGATGCCAAGCAAGGCCACAGCTCGCACAGAGCAGACTGCAGTCACTCACTGGGGCTTGTCAGTGAGGACAAGAATACATTTATATGTTAAAAAGGAGAAAGATTTATAGGGTGTGAAGAGAAACCAGAGTATACATTTACATTCTAAAAAGTGCTCTGGGCACAGCATAAGGACAGCAGCAGGCTCCATGTGTGACCTAGACCAGAAATGGTAGAGACGGTGAAGAAAATATTTAGAAGATCAAGTGATTCTAAAGGTTCATGGGTTAGAAGTGGGTGTGTAGTTAGTTACAGACCAATGAAACTCTTGAGTGTGTGTGAATTTACTTTCAACTGAGATAGGGAAAACTTAGGGAAGTTTTTTCTTTTTTTTTTTTTGAAAAGATCATTAGTTTGGTTTCAATCAGACTGAGTTTGAAGTCTCTGAGATATTCAGTTGGGTTAACAATCAGACAGATTAAAACACTGTTTTGCAGCTCAGAAGCAATGTTGGAGGCTTATAGTAGAACTTGGCAAAGCAACAACCCAAGGAGCAATGAATACCCTGAAAATCAAAATTCAAAGCCAATTTTTCATTTTTTGGAAATAGAAAGTCTTTATAATAATTTACTATGATGTTTTACTGTCACATCCCATGTGCAAATGAATTACAGCATTAGAAAGAAATATAGTATTTGTAGCTGACAGAGTATTCTCAATTTGTGTCAAAATACAAATAATGACACGGGCCGGGGATTTAGCTCAGTGGTTCCACTGCCTGTCTCGCAAGCACAAAGACCCGAGTTTGGTCCCTGGGTACCAAAAAGCAAAACAAAACAAAACAAAACAAAACAAAAAAACAATGACACACAATAGCTTTGTGGCAATAAAAGATGAAACTGATATTTGTCATAATCTATCTGTGCTGTTTGTGTGTACAGACACACAGATACACATATAATTTCTACTAGAAATTTGAATGTTGACGGGATAATTACTAAAATAACTACATTTGGTACGAATACATACTTGTGGTAAAGGAGATAACTAACACAAATGATAAGAATTCTAAGTATTCAACATTGTAAGATTTCATAACAAAAACAGTAACTCTTCTCAATACTTTTCTTCCACTAATACTTTTTCTCAGTCAAAGCTCTTGCAATCTTCTGTCATCTACAAATGTATATCAACAGGCATTTTCCTGTGTTTCCAGTGTAATTACACTGGATATTACATAAAAGACTCTGAGACAAAATTGCTTTCAAAGTCATCAGCCATCAAATAAAGATTAAATTTTTCTCTATAAAGTTTTATAGCATAGCATGTTTTATGTTCTGATCTTTGGAAATTGGTCCCTATGTAGTCTATATTAAATGGACTCTGAATAATCAGAACAGTACTTTATTCCTGAACATGTAAATAACAGCTGCTCACAACTGCCCCTTACTCCTTCAGCAATGCACAAAGCCACCAGAGTGAGACAAGTACCTGGGTCCTTCTCGCCCAGTCAGAAGGACATGCATTTCCACGAGTCACTCTGACAAATACAGAGTTCTGCATTCATTTCATGTTGTGTACAAATCATGTATACATGGAGACTAACCACATATACATGTATTCCAGGTATAAGCTCGGAGTACACAGTTTCAACAGAACTGTACTGTAAAATATTGGCTTCCATTTTCAGACAAACCTCACAGTTCTTCCTTATAGGATGAATTAATAAAGTTTTGTCATAGCAAAAAATGTATATTCTGTCATTGTATACTAATTCAAATGCCAGAACTGAGTGACGGGCAGCAAAATAAACCATTTTCCTTTTAGTAAGTCCACAAGAAGAAGTCATCTTGGCAGAACATGGGACAAACTTTTGTGCGCCACTGAAAAGTGATACATTTACTGTCTTCATTTTCTAAAAGTTTCATTTTGGGTAAATAATTAAAAACTCTCAAAGCTTTGGAATAAACTTTTTCAACAAAAACTCTTGTAGTGTCCCAAAGTAAGAGGAGTGGGGGGCCCCAGGTAACATCTCAGCCTGCCTCTCAGAAAAGTGTACCCTCAGATGTTACAGAATATCCTCAGCTACAGCAGTTCCCAACCATGTCAAGATCTGCTTCCCTATCCCAAACTGGGGAAATGACAAAGTAACCTAAGACGTGGAAGTTCCTGAAGCTTTTCCATGACTTTGATAACACCGGGCTATGGTCCAGGAGGTGTGGTGATAAAGATATCAACGGATCCTCTAAGCCTACCAACTCCTAGACTCTGTTCTATGTGACTGGACAGAGGAAGAATTTGAATAGTTTTTGGCTGAGCTCAGTTTCTATTTCCAACCAAGATACTAGCTGACACCTGCCTTTCCTTGAAAATGAGCTGCTCTTCTGAAGACCATGTGCATTTCCTAGAACCGAATCACCTTTTAAAAACTCAATGATAAAGAACAGTCGACCTTGCCACCGTGCTTTAAAATCTGCACAGGCGAGTGAGCCCACTCACGTAAGGGGGATCTGGGGTTCTTACCGTCATCCTCACACTCTTCCAGAGGCTTCTGCTGCTTGTTCAGGCACCGAGGGTCTAGCCAGGATGTTGTTTTCGTGTTATGGCTGCAATTCAGAAACAAAACAAGGCATTTGTTTAAAAACCAAAGAAAAAGAAAAAAATTGATTGCAGAAGAATTTTACACACACCTGAACCAACAGCAAACCCATACCAGAAGAGAGCCTGAGCTGGGACTTTTCTTGGAGAGAGTCTTGGGGAGACATTTTTCCCTACCTGAGACAGAATCATTGAATTACTGAAAGCTTATAAGATAACACCAGCCTTATTTTTGAAAACTGACTTACAAAGAACATGCCTTGCCTGTACTGTCTATTCTTGTCTAGACTTATCATGTTAGACTTCACATTTGCCAAAGAGCAAATTTTCTAAAGTGGTCTCTGACTTAATTTTCGGATGCTGGAATTCATAATGAAGGCTACTATTTCACTCATTACACTACACAAGCATCCTCATGACAGTGTCAAACTACTGCAATTCACAAGTGGCTCAAAACTACGAACACACATCGTTCATCACAGCATGCTAAGTTAGACTTTAGGCATACTGATGGTAACCCAAAATTACCTAACAGGAATAGAATCTGAACCAAGAAAAAGCTTGGAGAAACTAAACATGCCACCCAACTGCCTTAGGGAGAGCAGAGTCCAGCTCCAGATGGAACATTTCAACAGTGACCAGGGCCTTTGACATAGAGAAGCATATGGAAACATCCCCAAGGACACAGTATTGTCCTTTACTTGTGTTACAATGGCTGGAAGAGGTCAGCCTTTGCACTTTGCAGCAGATCTAGACATAGGGCTACAGTTCAGCCTGTGCGCTGCCTCTACACTGCAGCTAACGGCTGAGCAAGGTGCTCCAAGTCCAGCAGGCTGGCTGGCTACATGCACACATGAAAACAAGTAATTAAGAAAAAAAGAATTCACAATTTAGGCTCGGCATGGTGGCACATGCCCATAATCCCAGCATGAGGGAGACTAAAGCAGAAGGATAGCCATGAAATCAAGGCCAACCTGGGCTATATAGCGAGAGCCTGTTTAAAAAAAAAAAAATGGTTTAGACAAATTCTTTTTCAAAGTTTGTAAGTATTGGTGGAGTATTTGCTAGAGTATTTTTCATTTAGTGTCTTGAATTATTAAAGAAAAAACTTATGGCATAGGTGACAAACAAAAGATACAAATGTATATCTCTTAGCTCAGTCATGTTAAAAAAAAAGAGAGAATTAAAAGATACTATAGTAACTACCACTACTGCCACATTTTTGACCACTCACAACTATCAGCATCTAAGTGTTTTATATATCACTACAGCTTGACTTTCTCCCCCGTCCCCTAGTACTGGGGATTGAACTCAGGACCTTGTGCTTAGGAGGCAGGCACAGTGCCACTGAGCTAAATCCCCAGCCAATATAGCTTGATTCTTAAAATGAGGACAGAGAGGTGAGGACACGAGACCAGAACTGGAAATCAACCCTGACAGTACTGCACTAGAATCCACGGTCTGTACTGTTTGCTCTGCACAATCTACAGTGACACTGGTCATTATGGGAAGAGATGATTATCCAGTACAGGATTTTAGAAAACTTTTTACTTTGAAATAAGTATGGATTTGCATGCCATTATAAGAAATAACAGAGTGAGCCCACACACCGTAACCTTAATACCATCAATGGTAACGCCTCATAGAACTGTACACTGACATCTAGGGTACCCACATCCACATAATTGAGATACAGAACGTTCACACTACCACAAAGCTCTGTCAGGACATTCTTTTTTGTCACACACCTGACAATAAGGGTTCCCATCTCATCATTCCTCCAGAGCCTCTTCTTTTCTTTTTTGGTACTGGTGGTTGAACTTGGGTCCTTGTGCTTGCAAGGCAGGCCACCGAACCTCTGAGCTAAATACCCAGCCCCCAGAGCCTCTTCTTAATCCTTGGCAACCACAAATTTATTTTCCATTTCTATAGTTTTGTTACTTCATGAATGTCAGGAACCACAGCATGTAATGCTTTAGGATTGGTGCCTTTCACTCAGCATAATTCTCATCAGGACTACTATGCTTATCAATGATGATTTATTATTTTCATGACTGAGTAGTATTCCATGCCATGGATGTGCTCAGCTAACCACTGAAAGGCATTTCTGGATTTTCACTATTCAAAATAAGTTTACAATAAACATTCATACACAAGTTTTTATATAAATGTTTGTACTACTGTGAGATAAACAATCACGTGTGCAACTGCTGGACTGAACAGAAGTTACATGTTTGGTTTTCTACGAGTTGTTTTCTAGAAGGTTATATAATTTTACATTCCCAGCAGTTAGTGTGAGTGACCCATTTCCTATGTGCTCTTATTTACTCCTGTCATGTTTTACTTCAGATATCCTGAAAGGTATACAATGACATCTCATGCTTTCAATCTGCATTTCCCTAAAGATAAAGGTGTTGGATATTTTTTCATATACATATTTGACTTTTATATATTCACTTTAACAAAGTATTTGTGTCTTTAATCCATGTTTTAACTGAATAGTTTATTTTTACTGTTGAGTTTTGAGGGTTCTTTATATATTCTAGATACCAGTCCTTTCACAGATATGGGGTCTACAAATACTTTCTCTCAGTTTGTAGTTTGTATTTTTATCCTTTTATTAAGCGTCTTCTATAAATCAAAATTTTTCATTTCAGCTAGGCTGGATTTATTAAATTTTTTGGAGAATCATGCCTTTAATGTCAAGCCTAGGCATGTTTGCTTAGTCCTAGATTTCAAAGATTCTTTTTCTAAATGTTTTATTGCTTTACATTTTATACTTCAGATTAGTGTTTGTAATTCCTCATGTAGGATGTAAGGCTTGGGTTGAGGTTAATTTCTATGCCATTGGCTGTCCACTTGCCCAAGAACCATTTATTAGAAACACTATCTTTCTTGGCACGAGTTGTTGTCATGCCTCTCTCAGAAACCTGCTGAGCCTGCATTCTATGTTCTTCCTGCTGATCCACATGTCTATTCCCCTACAATACCACAAAGTCCTAGCACTGTGGCAAAGTACCAAGTCTTCATACTGAGTAAGCTGATTACTCTGTTTTCTTTTTCGAGTGTCTTGGCTCTTCCAGTTCCTTTGTACTTACAATTATATATTTTAAATAAACTTTTCTATATCCACAAAACACCTGAGACTTTGACAAGAAATGCAATAAACCTTTTGGAACTACTGACATTTTGAGCTAGTCTGAGTCTTCCAATCCATTAAAAGTTTTTTCATTTATTTAAAGTTTCTTTGACTTCCTTCTTCAGTATTTTGCAGCTTACAGCATACAAAATCCTTTTATTAGATTAATACCTAGGTATAATTTTTTGAGCAACTATAAGTATCATTTCAAATACTGGTGGCCCAGTGTTCACTGCTAGTATACACGTGCCTATCTTCTTTCATGAAACCTTGCTCAACTCACTTACGAGAGTTTCTGGGGTACCTTTACATTTTTTTCTATGTAATTATGTAATCTGCAAAGAGGATCAGTTTTACTTCTTCCTTTCCGAAGTATATAGCTTTTATTTCCTTATGGTCTTTTAAAATCAGGTGGTCTTCTGGCATGGTGTGAGCTGACATCTTCGGTTTTTCTCAAACATTCAGGGAAGGTACTCATTTCTCCATGATTAAGTATAACACTAACTGTGGGTTTGTCACAGATGCTCGCTATTAAACCAAGAATATTTTTGTCTTCTGGTTTTCTGATTTTTATTGTGAACAATCACTTAGCTTTGTAAATGCTTTCTCTGCCTTAATGTGGCCATACTTTGTCATTTTTTAGCCTGTTAATATGGTGGGTTATGCTGATTGACCTTCCCCCTTTTCTGAGTGTACACGTGTGTGTATATTCATCAGCAGCACTCCCTGTTGCCCTCTGGATGTCTGCAGAATTCTGTTTCTTTCCCACAACTGGTGATGTCTAGTTTCCCTCATTAGTCTTGCCGGACACTCTGCAGTCTTATTAACCTTTTGGGGGATCGGCCATTTGTTTCACCAGTCTTCTCCCTTGGCCCTCTGCTTTCTGTTTCATAGCTTTCTGCTCTTGGTCATTCCCTTCCATCCGCTTATCTGGAGTTTAATTTACTCTTTTTCTAGAGTCTGTGGGTAAGGACTTAAGATCGCTGACTTTAGGGTTTCGTCTTTTCTAATGTACATGTCCAGTGCTGTGAACTCCCCTCTCACCACTGGCTTGGCTATGTCCCATCCATTTTGATATGCTGCAGTTTCATTTAGTTCAATTTTTAAAACAATTCTCTTGTGACTTTTTTTTTTGACTCATAGGTCTTCTTTTAGAAATGTGCTATATACTTTTTAAGTGTCTGGAGATTTAAACAGTTTATCTGATATTAATATGCAACTCTTGTTTTTTACTGATTATTTGTAAGATATAGTTACCCACATTTCACGGTCAACATATTTGCTGTGTTCGGAATAAGTTTTTGTAGACACATATAATTAGGTAGGTGTTTTAATCTACTTTGTGGATGATCTTTTAATTGCTATATTTAGTTTACTTCATTTAACATAATTATTGATAATTTTATGGTTTGTCTTGTACTTTGCTTTCTCTTTTTTTGGTTTTCTTTTTCCTGTTATATTTGTCTTTTCTTCCTTTGGGTTACTCAATTTTAGAATCTCATTTTTATTTATCTACTGTACTTCTGAGTATATCTCTTTGTACAGCTTTTTAAGCAGTGGTTTTATATACACATATCACACATATACATACAATAACAGTCTAGTAGTCATTCCTCCCCAAGTTTGATTCAAGTATACAAATCTCATCTTCACTTATAATCCTTTTCTCTCCTTCATTTATAAGAAAACTGCCTAAAAATAAGGTTTATGTACACTGGGGAAATTAGTGTTATTTGGGCTTTAATCTTTAATTTAGAAAAGTCAAGGAGAAGAAAAATGTATCATCTTTATTTGTAACTTTACTTTATTCATTGTTATATTGTCCTTCCTAATGTTCCAAGGTTTCTTTAAGAATTCCCTTTTTGGTTAGAGAATATCCTTTAGTCATTCTTTTAGGGTAGGCCTCTGGTCCCACATTTTCAAGTTTTTTCATGTAAGAATACCCTTATTTTTCCTTCATTCTAAAGGATATTTTCACTGACTGTAGAATACTGGGTTACTTTTTCTTTCCTTTTAGCACCTGAAAAATTGTGCTATCGCCTTCTAGCCTCTGCCATCTGAGGAGAAATGAGTTGTCATTCAGATTATTGTACTCACATATACAAGCTGTAATTTCTCTTGTTTGTTTTAGAACTTTTGGGTTTAGCTTTCAAAAATTTGACTATAATGTGTGCTTTCTCTGGGTTTATTCTGTTTCAGTTTATCCAGCTTCTTGAACCTATAGGTTCATTTCTTTGTCAACTTTGGAGGACTTTCAGATATTAGTTCTCCAAGAGCTTTTCTTTCCTGCCAGTCTCACCCACTTTCACATCTAAGGCTCCAAGGACATAGCTTCAACCTTTTGTCACTGATCAGAAGTCCCTGACAGTTGGTTCCTTTTTTTTTTCTCCCGTCATTTTTGTGTTCTTCAGATTGGGTAAGTTCTATTTTCTATCTTCAAGCCCATGATTTCTTCCTCTCCCTTTCATTTTTCTATTGAACAGTTGGATAATGCTAAATCTATCTCTGGAGCTTTTTATTTTGACTGTGTTTGTTTGCCTTTGGTACTGGGGATCAAACTCGGGACCTTGAGCTTGCCAGGCAGGCACGGCACCACTGAGCTAAATCTTCTGCCCTTGACTGTGGTGTTTTGAGTTCAAACATTTTTCTTTTTTTTAATCTTCTATTCCTTTTCTAAGACTTTATTTTTCTGCTGAAATGTGCTATTTTTCCATTTATTTCAGGCATAATTGTTATTATTCATGAAATATTTTTGTAATGGCTAAGTTTCTATTAGATAATTCAAACACCTCTGTCATTTTGGTGTTGAGATCTGATTTTTTTTTTTTTTCACTCAATTTGAAATCTTTCTGGTTCCTGGAACAAGAACTGATTTTTTTGTTTTACCTGGCTATTTGAGGTATTACAGTACAGGACTACAGGTATTACTTAAACCTTCTATTTTTGCTGGCTTTCCTACATGCTACTCCAGACAGGAAAGGATGTACTATCTTTTACTACCAGTTTGGTCTCACCTGGCCTTTTGTAGACAGTGAAGCCCCTGTTGAATGGGAAAGGTGGCTCCAGAGCCCCCATAAGCCTGGCTGACACCAGAGCAGCCTAAGGGGGAAAAAGTGTCTCCCCATTGCTCCCAGCTCAGCCTCAGACTCTATGGAGAAGGGGTGAACTCCACTGGACAGTGCTGAAAATCTTGACTTCTCTCTAAGCCTCTTCAGACAGCACCCCGATCCCCACAGGTATGGACGAAGTCAGCCTCCCCTCGTGGGGTCCCACAGAATCCAGGTGGGGAAAAGCCAGTGCTGATTCCTGTCCCACTACAATTAAATTCCACCAGCAGCCCGGCAGGATGGCCATGTTGACCTTGGCTAAAGGGCACAGGGTAGGACCACAGGCTATTCTGTGCTGCTGCTTGGAACATAATGGCTGTTCAGTAAAATCTCCTGTTTTGTAGGATGCTCCTTTCCTGACCCTTCACCTTGAAAAGCAGGCTTCCATTAAGATTTTTGATATCAGTATCTGCTGCTAGTTCTGGGTTGCTGGCTTCATTAGCTCCAAGTCTGGGCTGAATGACACGGAAAGAAAACCGCAGAAATGACCCACCAGTCACTCCTTTAACGCTCTAGCTCTACAGCAGCTGGTTTTATTTGCTTCTCTTTTCAGTTTTCTTAGGTTGTTTTCTATACAGTATCCAAGGTCTCTTCATTTCCAGTATTTCAGATTTTGCTCAAACTATAAAACTAATACACAACACATGCACACACACAGCAAGCAGATCCAAGTCTAATGAAATATAACTTACTATTCAATGTAAGATAAAAAAGATTGTTTTTCAGAATGAAAGACACTTGAAAGCTCAGGAACCAGGGTATATAATTTAAACTAAAATATAAATGGCATGTTTTTATTCATGTAGTGGTGCTGGGGATGGAATGAGGGATGAGCACATACTAAGCAAGCACTTTGTCACTGCACTGTACTTTTAACTCCTTAATATCTATGGCACTTGAGGCTTCAGAATGGAATCTCATACTATTCACAGCCACGGTTTTGCATAATTTTTTAAACCTTAGGCCAGTGAAACACTGAACTTATAACAGCGAAGGGAAAATTAAGTTTTGAAAATTAGCAAAGCACTGCACTCTGCTGCAAGTGGCCACAGTTCTGAAGGCTAACAGTTCATGAACCACTAACTTTTCTAAAAGTTTTCAATCCAATCTTTGGCAAGGTGAGTGGTAGATTCCTTTTCAAGCACTTAAGTTTCACACATTATTCTGCATCAGGAACACCTCTGTTATACGTCATTTTCTCAGCACAATTCTTCCTTACTAATGGACACAATTTCAAAAGCAAGTTTTTGAAAGGCTAAGCACAAACCCTGAGCTTAGCTGACATCCGTTTTTATTTTAACAATGTTGAAATAACCACAAACGATGATGATGAAAATTGCAACAGTAATAATAATGAGAGCTCATTATTACTCATTAATCCTTTATTCTTCCATCTCCTCTATTTCTCTGACTAACAAGGCAGGTAGGTTTCGTGAATTTCTTCCACTCGTGGATATGGAAAACTGAGATGCAAACTGGTACACTCCACTTTCCCAGGTCTCATAACTAGTAGGTGATGAAGATAACAGGATTTTTCAGGTGTTAACTGCTGTACTGCTCTAGCTCTCAGGAAAATGCTTCTCTCATCCACATCTTCAGTACAGACTTTCTATTTACATGAGAAAGAAAAATGGTCTGTCCCCTCCCTCTGGTTGGAATGTAAGACTGAGGCTCTTGTTTATTTATATCAGATTTCTCACCAGGAAGCTTCTTAAAGAAGCTGCTCTGAGACCCAAGCGTTTCCCTCACTGTTTAGGAAAATTATACTTTTTTAAAATTATTTTTTTCTAATTAGAAAACAAATGTTAAGTATAAAAAATTCAAAACCCAAGGAAATGGATGTGGTTAGAAAATAAATTCTGTACTTAAATCTAACTATTAATAGATAACCCCAGATTCCATACACACAATTTTATCTCCTTAGTCACAGAATCAAATGTACACATATGTGTGATGTTCCATATTTTCTTCTACAACTCCCTCTTCTGTTATTGTTCATCTAACAAGTAAACTTTCAACTTCAACCTACAGAACAAATTTACAGTGTGATCAGAATATACAGTGAATGGTTAAATTTTTAAAAATTATTACAATAAAAGACATACTGCCATTAATTTACCTCAAAATACTCCGCTGGCTTTAAACACATCATTAAGATATTTATGGTAAACCATAAGCCAACTACTAAAAAAGTAACTTGAAGAATGAAGTCGGGTGTAGTGGCATAGGTCTTCTAAGAAGCTGGGAGGAGATCTCAAGTTTGTGCCCAGACTGGGCAATTTAGGGAGAAACTATATCAAAATTTTAAATGGGGTGGGGTTGGATGGGGCCTGGAAGTGTACATCAGTGTAAAGGCCCCGGGTTCAATTCCACAAAACAAAAACACTAAAATCGATCACAGACCTAAACGTAGGTATGAAACTATAAAACTTCTAAAAGACTTATAGGAAAAAGGTCATTATGACTTGGAGTTAGGCAATGATTTCCTAGCTATTACGTGAAAGAAAAAAATGTGATAAATTAGATTTCCTCAAAGTTGAGCACTTCTGCTCTGCAAAGACCACAGTGAAACAATGAATAGTGAGACTTGTAGAAAGTGCAAATTACAAATAGGGTAAGGAGTTGTATCCAAAATACATGAAGAAATCTTAAAGTTCAACAGTAAGCAAATCACAGCCCAATTATGAAAAAGCAAGCAAAGAATTTATAATTTTAATGCTAAATACAGTCTGTATATTTATATATATATATGAGTGTGTATATATATCCTGATTTTGTTGTCTAATTTTGGGGGAAATTATTAATCTTATGGTTCCTCAAACTCTTCTGACTCAATGATTAGGATGATATAGCCATACAATTCTATACAGCTAAACATTTAACAAACAACCTTAGCAGAAAAGGAAAAAATACCTACAATTAAAACCATTCAGGAAAATCTAAAATAGGATGATTTCCTAACCAGCAGTAGTCAGCTTGTATTTTGACTCATTGTATTACTGACATTCACCATGTTTTTAGGTATCACCAAAAAAGGCCAATTAAACTATTTTTAGAAGCATAGTTATATCTGTTATATTATATTCATACAGAATGAAATTTCTACTGTTTGATGAACAACAGAAGAACAGTAACACTTGCAGAAGAGTATATAAAGAACCTCACTTTTGTAGAAATATATGAACATGTTCTGCATTATATATGTATATTTGTTTCTGTGATTAAGTAAAATTTTATAAAATCCTAAGACTATTAACATCTGTGTTTGAATATGTAGTTTATTTAACAAAGATCTGTTAAACCTTTAAAAAGAATACTATCAGTGAGTGATCAGTTCTTTCAGATCCGATTTACATCTGTAGGTGACAGAAAGAGGGAGGAAGTGGAAGAGACAGAGAGATTCGGGTACAAAGAGTAGTATACTTTACTCTATAAAGTAGACTTCTCCATTTTCCGTATAGGCCATCTCCCAGTTTTCAGGTAGAGGACCTAAATTATCCTCCGCAGAAAGAGGTAGGTACTGAGGGAACTTCTGAGAAGGGTCCGTGATGGGAGCAGCAGCGATGCTACTATTCACAGATGAGAGTGCTGCTTCCTGGAGAGTGTGCTCGTCCTGGTCACCAGAATCGGCTGTTATCAGGTTGTGGGGGACAGAGACAAAAACAGATAAGCACAAAGGCATTCAGCACCACATGCAAGCTGGGATGTATACTCTGATACAAATGTACTCCTAAAAGCCCCATGTAGCACGTGCAAGGCCCTGATTCGTTAATGCATTGCTCACGTTTCTTTGGAAAGATCAAAGAAAAATCCCAGGAACAACTTGAATCCTAAAGACTATGAAAGTCAGAAGCCCTTCAAAACACAGGCTGATCTACACCCTCATCCCATTCATATTATTTGGCTTCACAGTTCAGAAAAAACAAATCTTTGCTGAAAACGTGAATACGGTAGCATTTCTTTTCTTTCTTACTTTTAAGGCATTTTTGTATAAATTTTATTTGGTAGACCCTAGCAAAGATCGAAGACTGACAAATTAAGCTGCCAAGTATATAAAAGTTTACAATATGGAGATAGCTTACAATGAGTCATATTTGAGCCTCTTTTAGAAAAGAAGAGACTGTTCCTGTTAAAACCAAGATAGTCACCCCAGTGCAGTGCCATGTGGGTGGACTGATGTGACTTGGGTCTTCAAGGAAAGCTCTAAGTGCACTGGCCTCACTGCCTTCTCGTTGACTAGAAGCACCAGGGGCCATGTCATTCAAGTGTCCACAACAGCACTATTGACATTCTGGCGAATTCTATGGAAGCTGATGACATAAATGTGAATCTCCACATGGCTTTAAAACATAATACTCAGGGAATGCAATGGTTTTCTTCTCCCACAGTAATGTTCCTGCAGACATTTCTGACTGCGTGAAAGCAGACCGAAGAATAACAAAAGCCTGTTTTCAAAGCTGTCTCTGATGAGTAGTTTCCAAAGACACACATGAGAAGGAAGGTAATCTAAATACTGGGCTGAGGCTACGCCTTGCTTACAGAGCAACCACAGCTACTACTGAGGAAGCTGCCTGCAGGTTTTCCCCACCCTGCATCTCTGCCCTCACATTCTGGTAGCACCACTTTCCTTTTAGGAAATCACCCCTCCATTCCAGGACTGGCTCCAAGTTACATTCTGCCCAGGGAAATATTCCGTCACTTTTGCCTTCGCAATTGGTTCAGGACTTAGAGCAAACCAATGAAGGTCAGATATGGACTATCAAGTCAGTAGAGACCTCTCGACGCTGGGAAAACTTAGTTGACAGGTCATTAAGCTGTAGCTGCTGGTGGTCACTTTGACACAGCTTGGTCAAATCTACTTAATAATGGAAGCACACAGAGGAAAGTGGAGCTGAGAGAGAGAGAGAGAGAGAGAGAGAGAGAGAGAGAGAGCTGCTTAGGATTCCTGATCCCGCCTGTAGTTCCATGCCTGAAATCAATGCCCCACTGCTGTCTTCAGTGGTGTCATTCCCCAGTCACTTTCCTACTGAAACCATCATGAGTTGGTTTTCAACTTGTATCAAAGAGTTCAGATTAAAAGAACAATGATAAGTTTGAAAAAACAAAAAGGAAATTAGATTAAAACAAAAAACCTACTCTGAAATAACTGATCAGTAACAAAACAAATTCAGTCCCTAGAAAGAATGAAAAGATTCAGCCTTGTTTCTCTTAAAGGCCATTACAGAGGGCAGGTATAGGATGAAATTCAAAATTTGACTGTATTTGTGACACATTTAGCTGATAAGGATTCTGCTGGTGTACTCTGAAGATGGAATTCTCCAAAGAGTGGAAAGAAAACACAAGGCACAGCATCAGTTGTACAAAGGCCTATTTTCAGCTGGCATTCTCTTCTGCATTTGAACCTGCTATGTCCCAGAGTCATTAGACCCGATAGCTTCTGTGGGTGCTGCTGTGCTGCCACGGGGCCGGGGAGGGGCAGCGCCTCAGGAACCAACCCCTCTGCTTGCCTCACCGCCAGGAGGCACAATGAGGCGGTGGGCACGAGACAGTGGAGGGGTATACCCACACTGGGGAGCTCGGTGCCAAGAGCAAAGTGCACTTAGGATCTCAGACCTCTGACTTTTTAAGAGAAGGAAATCTTATGTTTATATGAAATCTTCCAACCTTTCATTAATAAAATGCCTCTAAAAAATGATGCTATCTGGCACAAGCAAAAAGTAAAAGGTTGATTATAAGCACTGAATCTGGAGCCACGTGGATTGTGTTGGTTCCTGGCTTTATCATTTGCTAAGGAGGACCACACTCATAACCTTGGTGTGCCTCAGTTTCCTCATCAGGAAATGGGGGTGACAGCAACCCCGGAGGCACAGGGTGGTGGGAAGGGCTGAATGAGTGATCCTGTGTAAAGGACTCAGAGCAGTGTCTAGTATACAGTCAGAACCACTTGCTAGCTGCCACTTTCATCATCACCATCGCCATCTTTATTGAGAAGATTACTGATTTTGTCTTTAGGGCAGGAATGCCCTAGACTGCCAATGGGGTTACAAGCAGAGCTTGTGACATCAGATCACAGGCCAAGCTGCAGCTCATTTGTTTTTAACTGTGGTACACTGAAGCAGCTTTACCTTTCTGAACGCTTCCCTGTCTGCCAAAGAGGCACAGTGCACAAGTCGAGAACTGGATGCTGTCACTGATGTGAAGCATGTAGAACAGCACAGTGTCCCTGGTGCACACCCTGAAAGGGAACCTTTTGCCCCTGACCACTTTCTCTGTTTCCTGGTCTGCTCCACATGTACTCCCCACTGCCTTGCCCAAGGCCCATGGACAATGGAGCCAAGTGATCATTCTCTGAACCTCTGAAACTGACACAGGGGAAAGTCTTGTCCTTCAAGGTGATTTTCTCAAGCATCCTGTCACAGATGAAAAGCTTAAACCAAGCCTCCCGAGTAGCTGGGACTATAGGCGCATGCCACCATGTACAGTTTGTTTTCTTTTAAATGTGATATCTAAGAGGCAGCAAACTGCTGGGAAGACATGAATAATTTCATTATTAATTTTAATTGAACCATTTTAACAGAAACTGGGTACAAGAATGTAAGAGAAAAGGTTAGTGGCTACAGGTGGGATGCCACAGATGAGGTGAGATACACTCCATTTAACACTGTGTAAACCATCAGGTTAAAAATAAAATTCTGCTAGGGTTTCTACACCTAACTTCAGGGAATATTAGCTTGCTAGGCAAGTGTCTTAGTAATTTCTTGGGGGGTACCAGGGATCAAACTCAGGACCTTGTGTTTGTGAGGCAGGTGGCAGAACCAATGACCCAAATCCCTAGCTGTGTCTAAGTAATTTTAATTTTCTGGAGAAAAAATATCCCCCCAGCAACTGGATATTTTAAATTATCCAAGTGTCCCTGTTTTTAAATTTTTAATTTAATTAATGAATTAATGCAGTACCGGGACTGAAGCAAGAACCTTCACACTGAGCTACATCTTCAGCCCTTATTTTTACTCGATGCAGGGTCTTGCTAAGTCACTGAATTGTCCAGGCAACTGCCTCAGTGTGATCAGTAGTGTCCCCTAAAGTCTTTGTGTTGACAGTGTGGTTGCTAGAGCAGCAGTTTAGAGGTGGGTCTTTGCTCAGTTCTGTGAACCTCCTGTCTCAGCTTCCCTGACTGCTGGGATTATAGCTATGGACCACCACGCCTGGCTTTTGTTTTTATTTTATGTGTTATTCATGTCTTTCCAGTGAAAGAGAATCTTAAATAATACAATTCTCTGAAAGCAGATGGAAAGTCTAAAATGAGGGGTTGGGACAGACACAGGACAGATTCGAGTGCATAGCCTCAATTGGAGCTTTGACTTTGATATATGCTCAGGCTTTTAAAAAAAATCTTCCATTTGATGTACAAAACACTCAGGAGCTTTGCTGACACTTTCTAACTAAAGGTTGCCAATGAATACAAATAGGATTTTCAGAAACGAGCACTGGAATTGGTGTAGATGGGGAGACAGGAAGCCTGCTCTCCCTATGCTTAGCAGTACAGCATGCGCTTTCTTCAGTGTTCTCACACGTAAACTGGGAAAGCAACATCTCTCGAGATTTCCAGGTTTACCAGATACATGTGAAAATGGTTTGGAAACTGTAAATGAACACCAGAGGATTCCCAAACATACACAAACTCAGATACACACACTCACACACACACACACATTCTCTCGAGATTTCCAGGTTTACCAGATACATGTGAAAATGGTTTGGAAACTGTAAATGAACACAAATAACATGTTTATTCGTAGTAAACCAGAGGATTCCCAAACATACACAAACTCAGATACACACACTCACACACACACACACACACACACACACACACACACACACTCTCTCTCTCTCTCTCTCTCTTGGAGATTTTTGAAAGTGACTGAGAGCAGGGGCTCATGTCCAAAAAAATCATTCTTGAAGCTTATCTTAAATTGTGCATACATTTAGATTTATGTTCATCTCTTACTGTGCAAAATCAGTCACACAGTCGGAGCTTCTCAGAGTTGATAAAATCGATTTAAAACAAATAGCATAGCAGATGTGCGTGCAAAATCTGGAGTTAAGAGTTTCAGGGTTGGAATGGCATTTCTGATGCTCACTGGGGCTTTGTGGTACTGCAGAAAAGATTTGACCTCCTTGGTGAATGCATAAAAACATGTGTCTGTCACACAGTACTACAGATGCATTGGGCCTTGTAAGTGCTATCTTTTAACATTCAAAACAGTGCTTTATCATTGCCTACCAATGAAAGTGTCAGCAAGCTAACGTTCAATAGTGGGGAGCTACTAGGAAAAAAGCCTAGAAATATGATTACATAATTTTCTGACATCTTTTGGAGGTGATTAACAGATAAATCAAAGATGTTTTAGTTGTGGCATAGTTTCCAAGCCATCCATAATGAGCAACATATTTGTAGAAAAGATCTTGTGTGCATAAATAGCTGCTTTGCCAAAGGTATAATTCTATCTTAAGCACACAAGGAGTGTTCTCTCTCAGTGACTCCTTTTAGGTCCATAAATTGGGCACAATTTATAGAAGGCTGACCTGCTGTCTGGTGTTCAGCAGTCAGTTCTCACTGATGTTTGCTCATTGCTCCGTCCCAGCCTCAGTCATCACTGTAGAATGAAAGTAGGGGCTGCCTCCCCAGGGGCTGTCTGTCCACCAAGCGCCCTGTGTTCTGTCTACAGGCGATGCCAGTGTGTGGACACTCCTTCAAAGATCCAGGCAAAGGGCAGTAAGTTAATAGCAACTGCATGTTATTTGTTATTTCAAATACTCTGTGAATACCATTCATTTTTGATAGGTCCATAATATTTCTTCATTTGGATGTGATTCTCATGTCTTTATTACAACTGGCTCAACCAGACCTCATTATGTGGCTGTTAAGTTAGGCTCAAAGTAGAAGGTGAACCTGGTTCAAAGTACAAAATGCTTTGACACAACAGATCACATACACATCATGGATTAGGTGTGTTATTTATTTATTTATTTATTTTGGTACTGAGGATCGAACTTGGGTCCTTGAACTTGCAAGTCAGGTGGTGGAAACACTGAGCTAAATCCCCAGCCCCAGGTGTGTTAATTTTTTTAAAGAATGAGTATCAGTACACGACAGATCAGTAGTGACAGTTTTAGTCTTGTTAGTGAAGGCACAGACACTGCTTTAATTTTTGTTTTGTGCAGAAAGTAATGATCAGATGACTTTAGCAATAATGGCATGGGCTGATATGCCAGAAGCCAGAATTTCAAGTGGGGATATGGGGTCAGACTGTCTGAGGCATGGCTTCTAGAGGCATCAATCTATAGTAGTTAGAAATAGGAAATAGAATGTGACCTAGTCAACTATGATTACTTTCTTGCTTTTTACCAAGAAGCCTACTTAACTATAGTACTTAATGTGGGACAGGGTATGCAGCTTTCTGGGGCCGATCCAACTGTTTGACAGAACTGTTTCAGGGCATCTTACCCACCAAGTCTTCTCTTGCTGTGACCACATCTATGTTTTGGTTATGTAATGATATTCTCACTTATTGGACCATCAAGACATTAAAGCACAAGATTTTTTTTTTTTAAGAAGTGTTCATACTTTTAAAAAAATTTTGGTGAGCACTAGTATAAATGGATGAAATAACTCTCAAGGGATGAAAGTAGATGATTCTAAGAAAGACAGGCATAAACAGTGCTGAATTTCTTTTAGATACTGTAACTGTACAGCAGCTAGTGCATCACACTCGAAGTTTTCACAGAATCAATCCTGGAATTATAAATGATTTAATTCTAGCCTGTCATTTTACAGGTGAGTGAGATTAGGCAAAGTGCTCATAAAAACATAAATACTAAGAGCTATATACCATGGTATCAAATATCTCCTCCTCTTTTATCAAATTTTCTTGCAAAAGAGTTTAGTTATGCTATTGGTATGGTAATATAGTTATCAAATAACTTTTCAACTGCCATCTTAACCAATTTTAGAATTTTTAGTGTGGTTAACAGATTCTGTAAAACTTTAGAGAGACCCATACAGGCCACAGACAGTATTCAATAGTAACATATATTTTCTTGAATATGCTATTCAATTTCATGATACCAAGGGAAAATGCAGGGCTAGTAATTTCCCCATTCTTTGAGGCTTAGTCTACCAAGCTAAGGACAAAAGTATGGTGATAATGAGAAAAAGACAATATGAGAGGAAGATCGTATATGTTCAAAATGGAAAAGCTGTCATAGCTATAACTCTAAATATCTAAAAAACATAAACAGTAGAAAAATAGAAGAAACAAGATGTAACTTGTTACATCTTAAGGGTAACTCAGTCTACATGTAGCTTTTAAAGTTCAAGTTACTACAGAAGCTCAAAACCTTGAAATAGTAGAAAATATTTTTGAATGGTTCTGAGTCATGCACTAATCCAGAAACACGTTGCAGCCTCCGAATGGTGTCCCCCAGAGTTGTGTAATACCTGTACCATACGACCTTATCCAGAGGACCTGTTCTTAGAAATGCCCCCAACACACAGCATGTGTAAGCTGGAGGTTCAAAGCTAAATGGAGACACAAATGTACAATGTAATCAGAAATATGTTATATAATAAATGCATATGCAAGATCAAGTCTTACAATGTTTTGTTTTCCATTTTCATCCCTTGAAGGGCATCTAGTCAAATCTGCACAAGTTAACTGGACACATGACACACTTCCTCTGCACCTACTTACAAAGGGGTGAGAAAAGGTGACACTGCTAGCTCTCCACATAGCAGTTGACATCAAATTGATAAAATAAATTCTCATATTTCACTTTATAGTAATCAGCCATAATTATGGACATGAAATGTTTTAAGAACAGAAAAAAATTGACTAAGTAAAAAAACTTAAATATATCATTTTGAAGAAAAAAACCAAGCTGATACTTCTTGACTCCCCTTTTTATACATTTATCTACATCTTATTAAAATACTTCGGTGAAGTTAAAATATTCCTGAGGAGGCTACTCTTCTCCCAGCACTGGAGGTCAGTCTGAATTCTGCAGACTGCAGATTCCTCTCCAGAACAGCGACCCTCTCCTAACTCTGCATCCCCCTCGTGAACCACATCCATGCAGGTCTGGCCTTACCTGTGAAGCTGCTGTTCATTTCAGGAACATCCTCCTCCTCCTCGTTCTCCGCATGGGCTATGCCAGCATTTTGCATATCATTGTAGGACTTGGTTCGCTTCGGGGTCGACTGCTTGGAGCCGGACTGCAGACTGTGCAAGGCATCCGTTGAGATCACTTTCCCACTGACTGGCTGGCTGGGAGGTTTGGGTGTCCCATAATAGTTTCCTAGGTGATGGAGAGACACATTTGCATGTTTCAAAAGAATACGCTGGGTTTTTTTAAGAATACACATCCAAATCTCTCAGCATATTTAAAAAATAAAACTGGAAAACTAGAGCACACTGCATTCATTTCTGGAGTGGATCACTGAGGACGTCTCTGCTACCCTGATACATAATGGTGACTGCAGAAGCAAGGGCGAAAGCTGCACTGTGTTGGTGGAAAGAACCTACTGGAGCTAAACACAAGAGAGGCTGTGCTGAGCAGAAACTCTTCATTCTCATCACATTTGAATTTCAATTGGTCATCTTTTTATATATAGACACTAGCATACAGCAGAATCTGACGAAGGGTGAGCTTCACAGAAAATAAAACTCATTACTGCTAGCATCCTTACAGGCCTGAGAGATCAAGGTCACCTGCGCTCTTCAAGGGGGAACCAGGGCTGCAGTTTAGAAAGAGGGCAGTGAGCACCACGTGGTGCCTCTTGACCCCAATGGCAGGTGGGTCACCAGGGCAGAACAACCCTGCCAGCAAAGCGGGAGCTCTGTGTCCGAGTGGTGCCACGGGGATTGTTCTTCTAGAAGTGGCCCATATGTTCTTTTCCCCCAAAGTTTGGCTCAAATCCCACTACAGTGTAGCACGTGATTTGGACTGCTAAAGTAAGTATATTCTTGCATCCTATTTTTTAAATAGACATGTACATTTTACGTTTGCAACAGAAAAATCTAGCTAGTGAGCTGTATTAGCAATACAAAGTTTCTCTTTAAAAATTAAGAGAAAAAGCAAGGCTGTCAAAAAGCTACCTTAGTTTTAACTAAAAGTTTGAAAATGCACATTTATATAAGAAATTAAGCTACTGAGTAAGCAATAGTGATGGCAGTGATGGCATTTCCTGCTGAAATCTTATGTTTAAAGTATGTTATTTTTTAAAAGTTATTTTAAAGAAAGCATTTAGTAAATACATGTGTTCCTTTATAAAAAAGCATGAAGGTGGTTCATAAATAATTAAAGTTTATAAAGCAATTAATATCAATAATACTGACTTTTCCTCCAGGTAATAATATCAACATTAAAGTATCATTGATACATTGACCACTTCAGTCAAATCTTTTAGACCCAGAAGATATGAAATGATATTCAGTTCTTCAATAAATCTAAACCAATGGTTGTAAATCTAAGTTTCATAAGGAAAAACTTCAATATAATAATAAATAGTGTAAACAATGTCTTTTCCCTATGATCCGCCCCTATACTCTAGCCTTGGTATCTAGTTACTAAACTACACAACCATGAGAGGTAAAGAAACACCAAAAGCTGGTCTTCATGAGATCTACAACTGATAGAAAATTAGCTTTCATTTTAAGCTTTATCCTTATAATTTTTGTTAAGAGATGAGGATTTAATATTTCCTTAACAATATATTTTTTCAATCAAATTTTCAAATATACACTCACTTTTTTTAAGGGGGTGTTAACAGTCTATATTGGCAAGGGAATGCTAAACATAAAAATGTTAAAACATGGCAGATTAGGGGTTATCATATGATCAAATTACATTATATGCATGCATGAAAATGCTACAATAAAATTCAATAGTTTGTAAAATTCTTAAACACTAATAAATATACCTATTAGAAAAAAATGAAAAAACAAAAACAAAAAAGAAAACAGGCAACATTTCAAGTAGGAATCTGTCAGGGGCATTCTGCTGGCCTTCACCCAGCTCGGTCACTATGGCTTTCCCAGAAGGTGACTACCTCTCCAAGACCTGCCTTTGGCATCCCTCCTTCCTGGAACAAGGGGAACACCCCAGTCTAGCAGCCAAGCCTTTGTCCATCCAAGCTAGAAAAGTAAAATGGTTAACTATTTAAAAACTAATCTCCAACAGTGAGTGAAAAAATAGAACTAAAGCACTACTGAATTTTTTAAATTCCTTAGCATCACTATTATACCACATACATTTTAGAGTCAGATGTTAAACTGAGGCTAATATCCATAAATAAAAACCCACTGCAAAGTGTAACCAAAGGATGCAACTCATTACTCCATAAAATTTTTATAATCATAAAATTTAAAAGTCTCAGCAACGATAAACTGAAATCACATTCTAAAAATTACTATCATTTATGAATCAATTAAATCATCAACGTCTACTGTTTATAACAGAAACATGTGCCTGGAGAATAAAAGTTGCACCTATGTTTGGCATATATGGGTGGGTGGTAGGTGTCTGCCCTTGGTTTTCAAGTTCAAAGTACTTTTAAGTTGATAAGTGATTACCGACTTATTAGTACAACTAAGTAAAATAATCCACTTGTTCAGAACTGTTTCTTTACGTTGATTTTGGGCCACTCTGTTTTGGCCTCGGCTCCCAGCAAAGGAGGCTGTGGTGTAACCACTAGCAGGATGGGCAATGCACAGCACACCAGGGTTACCAAGGGATCTCTTGCATGATCTGTCCGGCCCCTGAGGATTACAGATCTCAACACTTACCTAAACCAACACCCTCCACCTTACCCAGAGTGCGAACTCTGGTCATAAAATAACCAAGCCACATTTGGCGATGGCAGAAACACTAATCTTACAAGTATGCCTTATGCATAAGAGCCTCTGTGTGAAAGACATATAGGTCACTGACTGAAATTTAGGTTAAAATTATTTGATGAATTATAAATGATTTTAAAATGAATTGAAGTTACTATGTGGCAGGCTACACAGTGTCTGTGACCCTTGAACTTGACTATTCCATGGCCTCCAGGTACCTAAGCAGCACACACTTTCTGAGGTAGCCAGGCTCCTTCTCCAGTGAGAATGCACTCTGCTGCTGTTTTCAGAACCGGCTCAATGACAAAACTCAAGAAGTGTGGCTAGGGAGCGAAGGGAAGAGAAAATAAGGGAAGGCACTGTTGGCCTTAGTTAAGAATCACTCTTTGGCCATGAAAAAGCCAAAGAAAAGACTTTCTGACACACATTTAAAAATTAATGGGGTTGGGCCGGAGACTTAGCTTAGTGGTTCGGTGGCCTGCCTTGCAAGCACAAGGATCCGAGTTCAATCTCCGGTAAAAAAAAAAAAAAAAATGGGGTCTGCAAATCAATATTTAGAGCTTTTATAAAATATTTAAGGAAAACTATAACCCTAGATTTTAAGTAAGAATGAGTCAAACCTGTATGGCCACTCAACTTGCACAATGACAGCATTCATTTCCTGTCAGAGAATCTTTTTATACGATATAGGCACTCTGCTAGGCACTAGAAAGCAAACTTTATTAGAACCTGATGCTGACAATGGCCCTATAGGACACAGATCACTCCTCTCAAACTTCACTGTGCAAGCAATTAAAATACATGAAATGAGTCAGGCGTGGTGGTGCACACCTGTAATCCCAGCACTCAAGAGGCTGAGGCAGGACGATCGCTGTGAGTTTGAGACCAGCCTGGGCGTCAGCCTCAACTACATAGTGAGATCCTGTCTCAAAAACCAAAAAAAAAACAACAAAACAAAAAAAAAAAGTACATGAAATGTACATGTTGATTCAATAGGTCAGGGCAGGGCTGCGAGTTGCATTTCTAACAGAACTATAGGCAGGTGCTGGCTCGAGGGTCACCCTCTGCAAAAAGAGAACCAGTCCTCCCACGCAGATGGGAACACAAATGCCTGGAGCAGCAGGAAAGTCTCCTGTAGGGTTGCGTGCTTGATCCATGCTAGCCCAGGCCAAGTCAGGAGGGTTCTGGGAACCTTTTCTGTTTTCTTCCTACAGAACAAGTTTTCCAAAATGAATAGGAGACCCATGACAGTACTCCACCCATGGCTGGGAATCACGAGCACACGTTTTTGGTGGCAGCAGTGTCACCCCAAGGGAGCAAAAAAGTCTTCCTTTCTTTTGTGGACAGGTGTTTATGAAGCACTTGTTAGACTCACTTACCAGAACACACACACGTCCAGCACATCTGTTCTGGACATGGCCTCAAGGTCCTGAGTGCTTTGGCTTTGCCTGCTCTCCTGGCACCTTCCCTCCTTTGCTCTTCTGGATCTGAACTTCCAGGTGTTGCTGCTCAGCCCCTCCTCATCTCACAGCTCTTGCATCTGCCCTCCGTCCCACTGCCAGATGTTCATCCACAGGGAATGTATCTGACCCAACAACTAGCTGTCTTTGGGCTGGGGATGTGCCTCAGCAGTAGGGCACTTGCCTAGCATGCAAGAGGCCCTGAGTTCAATTCTCAGTACCAAAGAAGAAGAAGAGTAGGAGGAGGAAGAGGAGGCCATGGCCTGTATTAGCACCTATGTGTTAACTGGAAACATGCAACTCTCCTCCCTAATGCCTTTGCTGTCTTCATGTAATCTGCATCTGTCTTTACCCTTAGACTATGAGCTTCGTGAGGACAAACCTGTTTTGTGCACCTGTGTCCCTAGGCCTGACACAGTAACATGCACTGTCATTCAAGAATGTGTTTTCAGAATGAGTAAATGAGTAAGCAGAGACAGTATACGTCAATTCTAGCCGAGGATCCTTCCGAACCCTGAACTGTAGATCCAGTTATTAACAGGATGACTCATGGCAGTTTCTCTCCACCCACTGGCTACATGTGAATCCCACTGATCTGTGTTACTTCACTTTGCCACTCACGTGCTCAACACATGATGGTAGGATCCACAGAACTCTCTTTACTTTCTCTTTATAACTCCTCCCCATCCAGCAACATTATCATTCACATGCACAGAAAGATAACAAACCAATGTCCTATAGCTAGGTGTTTGTCTTTCCACGTGACTTTGAATAAAAGACTGAGGAAGAGAATAAAAGTTAGTATTAGTAACAGTCTTACAGAAAAATGCATCACTACTCCCTATTTTCAGGTGATGACACATTAAAGCACAGATTTGTCTGTCTCCAATAACTATGCTCTGAACTCCAGGAATCCATAGGGGTCTCTGAGCAGGGAATGAAGAATCACTTCCCTGGCCCCAGCCTCTCCATCTGCACATGACGGCACAGATTTCATTTG